TGAGACAAAAAGGTATCTGGGGAAGAGCATTCCAGACAAAAAGACCAAGTTCGAAAGTGCTTAGATAGGAGTCAGCATGATGACTACAGGAGCAGGAAGACCAGCAGCTGAGGGGGAGTAGGGGAAGAACTCACAAGTGTGGAGGGAAGTAAGGTGTAGAACCTGTAGTTCATTGGGAAGATTTTGTTTCTTTTACTGCAAGAGGAAAATGGAGGCGGAATCTAACAGTGAAGGAGTGCGAGGCTGGAGCAGAGAGAGAAGTGAGGGAGTCACTGCAGGAATAAGAACTGATGGAAGCCTGGACCAGCCCACTGGCAGGGGGTGTGGGAACAACCCGTCAGGTTTGCAGTGCATCGTGATGCAGACTATCTTAGTAGATTGAAAGCTAGCCCCAAAACAAAGGAGGATCCAAGGATGATTCCAGAAGTTTTGGGTGTAGGAAACCAGAACCAAAGGAGACACTGCTTATTGAGAGGGCTCAGTGGGAGACGTAGGTGTGAGGACAGAACATTCTACCCTCTTGTCTATCCAGGTGATGGTGGCAAAGGAAAGAGCAGGATTTCCTATTTGGCATTTGCATGAGTGTGTGCCTCTTGTGACTAGATTCCATTTCTACCTAAGTGATATCTCCTTGACATTATTCTTTTATCCATCCATCAGTCATTAATTCAAATGCTCTGGGTGTCTATTATTGCCAAATAGTATGCTGAATCTTGAGTAAGCAGTGAGTAAGGAGATGTTTGGTTGCTTCCCTTGAATTTATGGTCTGGACTTAGACTCTAGAGAGAAACAATAAATAACTGCTTATGCAAATATATCTATATGTATGATAACAACCTACAAAAGTAAGGCAGACATTTATATAAAGAAACAGAAGTGCTGGGCAACTTAAGTAACTTCCCCATGACTTCACAGCTGGGGAAAGACAGGATCATACCATGAACAAGGTTGCCTCTTCCAGAGGCCACAAGCCTGCATTATGAGAGAACTGAATGTCAGCTCCATTCTTCCATGTGTATTATATGACTGCTCATGGGAAGACAACAGAATGACTTTTCTTACTTGGAGTTTCTGTCAGATGAAGGGTGTGGACTAGATGACTCAGAAAGCCCTCCTTGCTTGGTAACTTGAATTCTTTGAAATAGAAAAGATCTGGGGAGGCCCAACCCAGACCTTATTTACTCCACAGTTCTCCAAATCAGGCCTATGTTGAGACTGGGAGCCATCGACTCTCATCAAGCCCTCTGCTGCTCTAAAGAACTGAAGAATGCAGTAGCAGCTTCAAGGGAGGGGCTGGCGGGTGCCAGCCTTAGAATTGGGGGCGGGGGAGGGCCCTTGATCTGGAAAGAATGATGGAGAAATCCAAGAGGAGCAAATCCATCAGATGTTCCCTGCACTTAGATATCCCTGATATTTTCCCATACCTGCAGTGGATAGCAAAAGGGACTCAGGCATCCAAATGTGAGCCTGGAGATTGTGGATCCTCTGTCAAGTTAGGCTCTGACCTTGGTAATCCACCATCCCATAATGTTAGAAGCCTAGTCTTCCTGTTCCCAACTACACAAAATACACTTCTTTTCCCCCAGAGCACAAACCTTGCCAAAACTGTAAGACTTGCTTAAGTGTTCATTCTCCCTAAAGGCAGAGCTCCCAAAATGATGCAAATTGGATGCTCATAGCAGAAGGAATAGCTTGGATTTGGTTAAAAACCCCAAATTTCAACTACCATTTTTAGTTTTTTTTTTTACATTTACTTCTAAAGTGTAACTTTTTACATAAAATTCTTAAACTCCCATAAATCATCCACAACCACAAGGTTCTCTCTAGAACTCTGATAATGGCATAAAATGTCTATAAAATACTGAATAATGGAAAATACAGAATGTTTTTCTATTCACTAATTATAAATTCTTTCCAGTGTTGGCACACTAAGCTGGTAACATTAAGTACAAAATATTAGGTCCAAAAGTAAGAGGACTTCACATTGATATGTTCTAATTTTCAATGTCTGATTTAATCATAGGTATAAAGCCATCTCATTTTGTAAGCAGAGGACCTGAGTTCAGTTCCCAGCATCCATACATCAGGAGCCTCACAACCACCTGTAATCCCAGCCCCAGAAGATCTGATGCCCTCTTCTGGCCTCTGAGGGCACATGCACTCATGTGTACATACCCACACAATATACATAATTAAAAATAAATTTTAAAAAATATATAAATTTAGTTGTCTGATAGAAATAATATAATTGAGGGTGTACTTATCACTCACCTTGGAATTTGCATGTCAGCAATAATAAATATGGACTGAACTAATTAAGTTGAAGAGAGTCTTGTAGATGCATGTTTACTTTTCATGGGTAAAATTTTCATGGGCATAAATCTTTTAATCAAATTCAAATTAAACATGTTTAAAATACAAGCAATAGAAATGTGCATATTAAGTAGCCACACATTATTAGATACATGAAGGAATTATTTTGATGATTGTATTCTTCTATCAGTCAATCCCACTGTTCTAAGAAGTCCCAATCATATTAGCAGCATAACCTCTAAACCTGGCTTTATGAGTTCCACATGGTGACAGAGACTCTGCTCTAAGAATGTTGTTTATAATCAACATATCCTCAGCAATATGTTCAGCTCAGAGAGAGAGAGAGAGAGAGAGAGAGAGAGAGAGAGAGAGAGAGAGAGAGAGAGAGATGTGAGCTAGGTGCTGGTGATTTCCACTGCAAGAAAATAGAAATCAAAACTTGTTTGTCAACAAATACATATGTATCTTGGGCTATGGAGATGGTTCAGTGAATAAAAGCACTTTCTCTGCAAATGTGAGGACCTGAGTTCAAATCCCCTAAACCCACATAAAAACCCAGGCATAGCTGTGCATTCCTGTAATCCAGCATTAGGGGGCAGAGATAACTAAACCCTGAGTGCTTGCTGGCCTGCTTCTGGTTCTGTGAGAAATCCTGTCTCAAGACAAAATGGCAAAAAGTAATAGAGGATGGCATCCAATATCCTGCCCTGGCCTCTGCATACATGCTTACAGGTACATGTACCTGTGCATTCACATGTGTGCCCTCCACCCCTGACCCTGTGCATGTATGTACTAGATACCTTCAAATGTTTAGGACCCCACCTTCTTTCCTCCTCCTGTCCTTTCCAGCTGCCTCTTTTTCTCCCCACTCTGGCTCATTATCTTTCCTCTTCTTGTGTTCCCCAGTAAGTATCCTCCCTTTAGGATACTTCTAACCATGAAGAGTCTATCCATGAATGTATTCATTTGTAGTACTTATTAATGACCCAATATGTACTTGGCATGATATCAGCCTCTGGGTATCAAAGATGATTGATAGTGTTCCCGCCTTCGAGGAAGACACAGTCCAGCTGACACTGGGCCACACTGCCAGTAAGCAGGGTTGTCAGTCACTAGAGTAAAAATGCAGCACCTGCCCCTCATTATGAAACATCTATTTCTCCCCAAGTTTTTCCCTTATCAGCTGTAAGCTGGGACTATACATCAGCCGTTTCTGTTGCCCAGCATTCAATGCAATGCCAAGAAAAGAACTGACTCCATAACGTGTTTTGGGTGAATGATTGGGTTCCTTCTCAACGAATTAAAATAATAATAATAGCCGGGCGGTGGTGGCGCACGCCTTTAATCCCAGCACTCGGGAGGCAGAGCCAGGCGGATCTCTGTGAGTTCGAGGCCAGCCTGGGCTACCAAGTGAGTTCCAGGAAAGGCGCAAAGCTACGCAGAGAAACCCTGTCTCGAAAAACCAAAAATAATAATAATAATAATAATAATAATAATAATAATGCCATCTGAGATCAGCTTTTCGCTACCCTATTTCCCCTCAAAGGGTCGCTTTCAATATCAAATCCAATGGGATTTTGGTTTCCTAGGTAAAGATAGTCATGTTCTCAGAGAAGATAACCTCCTAAAATCATTTTATCATATGTAATGTAATAGTCCCCAAGAAGAGGTGGACAAATTCCCCTGCGCACGCCCTCTGCAGGCCTCTGACCAGGAGGGCTCAGTTTTGCTGAACTTTTTTTTTTTTTTTTTTAACCATTTAGAAGTTTGGTCTGTTAAAGAATTAAAACATCTTTGGGAGAATTCGGTCAGAGAGAAGGGCGCCAAAGGGAGATGATCCCGCCAGAAAGCAAGTGAGCAAAATGCCTAGGGTCTCTGTTTTAGGCAAACCAGGTGCCATCCAGATCTGCAGCAGCTCAGAATACGAGGGCGGAGGAACCAGTAGCCTAGCAAAGAGAGCAAGAGAACCAGAGCTCCTCCTGTCCGTCACCTCACACGCGTCCCTTGTCACCCTCAGAGAAGCTGCCAAATTCCAGAATCTAGCAACTGAGGCTCCAGAAGCAATCATCGACTGTGGCGACCGAAGCGTCACACCCTGTTCCTCCTTCCATTTAGGTTGCCTATGTGGTGGCAGGAGCGCCTCAGATAGCCCCAACCACACAGTTCGATCTGATCTCCTAGGTCCTGCCTCTGGGCATCCCCTCCCACCAGCGTGTTGTTTGGGGACCAGCTTTTCCTCTCTCAGCCCTCCAGCTATCACAGATTGCATGCCCTTCAGCGCAGCCAGAGTGGAAAGCCAGGCAGACTTCTAGTCTCAGAGCTTTCCAGGCTCTGCTAATCCCCTGGCTCCACACTCCAGGGGTGCACACCAAGGTCACCAACATAGGTGTGACTGCATCCACCCTCCCTCTTCTGAAACCTTTCCCCTTCTGAAATCTCCAGAGTCCGTCTCTTTTCTGCTCCCTCACCCCACCTACTTGGAGGTCTCTTCCCTTTGCACCCCGGCATCTGAACCACAAGCCTTTGCCTTGCCGATGCTTGCCTCCTCTGGAAAGGATAGTTTTCCCCACCCAGGGGCTCCTGGAAAGTCTCCCTTTGGGTTTCCGGGAGCCAGAGGGAGGAGACAAGCCTCCCACTCGCTAAGGGGGAGCGGCAGGGGAACCGACGCAAACTTCTGCTGCACTTACTTCGGGCCGAGGCTACCGCCCCCGTGCCTCTGCTCACTCTCCCACCGGCAGCTGTTTCTGGAAGACCAGGAGTCACCACCGTGCTCGCATTCCCCACGCCATCGGCGGCTGCGAAATGCGCAAGAGGGGAAAACTGGTCTCTCGGTGGCAAGCGTGCCCAGAGTCCGGGTCCAGAGCAGAGTTCTGGCTGCAAGCTTGAGCCTCAACCACCTTCAGCAGCCCGGAGATGCTGTGCTGGGCGCCGCGTGCCCCACTCCTTGGCTGGGCTGTTTCTGTCCGACTCGCAGTTTTAGTGCATGCCAGGACTGCAGCACCCTCTCCGTCCTCCCGGGGAGACGACTTTCAATTCACCTGGAGGTTGGCGAGGCTCCCTCGCGGGCGCGCATCGTGACAGCGGGTGCAGAGGAGAGGGAGGTGCGCGGGAGCCCTGGCTGCCCGAGTGCGCCTCCAGCATCCTCGGCGGGCGATGAGGAGCGCACAGCCTTCTCCAGCCGCTCTTCTCGGGACTGCAGTCCTGACGTCACCTGCCCTCCCTCCCGCCCCACAGAGGAGCAGTGGCGGAGGGTGGGGTGCCGCGAGCGAGGACGCGGGAGTGTGAGTGCGCCTGTGTGCACGCGAGAGTGTGCCCCGCAGGGCTGGGGAACGAAAGGAACCGCAGCTGGATCCGAAATCTGAGCTCCGGGCGAAGCGGTGCTGAGGGGCTTCTGTGAACAGCTGGGGGCGCTCGCTTCCCAGTTGGGGCTGAGTTTGGATGAGACCAGGAGAAACAGATTAAGGAAGCAATAAGGCGGTGGGAGAAGTATGAGTTTAAAAGGAAGCACCCCAACTTGGAGGGTGTACAAGATGCCTTTTTAAAAGGCTGCTCTGGATGCAGAGAGAAGTAAACATAATGGGACAGTAGCTTACTCTCCAGTAACAGAGTCTGGGTAGAGTTGGGAACTCTCAGCCTTGGCTCTGGCTGCTAGTTCCCTGCAGGCTTTGGGGTGGCTAATTTTTACCGAGTTATCAGTGCATCTGTGTTTCTCACCTAACTTCTTTTTGTGAACCTGGGGAGACTGTGGTTAGAAACTGGGAGAAAGCACCTGAGCGAAAGGAGTCAAGGACAAGGAGTACGAAGTCCATTCTCTGGGTCCTAGATGAAAGGTCGCTGAGGGTGAGAATGCTGAGCCAGAGTCCCTTGCTTCATTAGGGAGAAACCAGTTTGTAACTGCGACTCTGCAGGACTTGACACTCCAAGGGTAGTTCCATAGCCACCTAACTTTCCTCCTTGTCCGAAGTTGCCTTGGTGTTGGGATGGATAGAGGTTATTCCTGGGGCATTTGTGCCCTTAGTGCGACCGTGGCGCGCCTGCCATGGACTCTTGCACTCCTCCAGGCTGCAGTGGCCAACTAGGAGAGAGATTCTGGCTGCCTGAGGACTCCCGGTGAGAGCGAAATGTGCAATGCGCTCCAGCCCAGGCCAGATCTGCTGCCAGGATCTTGGCGTCCAGCTCAGGAGCGCTCTGCAGTGACTGCTCCTGCAGCCAGCAATTTTGCCCTGGTGAGTGGCAGTGAATTTTAACTGCAGGCATCTTCCTTCCTGAATCCAGACATCATTTAATAGCTGCTGTGCTCATACTCATTAAAATAATTTCAATAGAAAGGGTAGGAAGAGGGAATTAAAGGACAGTTTAAAAAAAAAAACCTCTCAGTTTAAAAGTATTTTTTAAAATATTCAACTTTCTAAAGATTTTGAAGTGGGATCAGACGTCCACAAAGCAGCTCCAATCCCAACTCTCCAATGGAAGTTTAATTAGCAGAACGAGTCTACGAACCTTGGCTATTGTGTTAGGTTTAATACTTTTAAAAACTCCCACATTTAAACATTGGAAATATAGCTAATCAGATAAAATTAAGGATATCCTTAGTAACTACAGGTGGGAGCCCACAAACAAACAGCATAATTAAAGTGTAAAGATACAGTGTGCTCCTAATGAGAACAAGGGAACAGCAGGAAAGGACACAGGGCCATCAGCCTCCAGGTTCTTCTGCAACTGGCCTATTTTTTAAGGTGTAATTTTGAAAGCATGCTGACACCACGAAGGACTTATATAACCAGATCCTAGCTATGTGCATTTCAAAAGCATAATTTCTCAGTAGGAGTCACTGTTCCCTGAAAATGCTAATTCAGATTAATAGTGTGGGAATAAGCAAGCCATTGACAAATTGTGATTTGAAAACAAAGTTGAGAAGTGACAGCTGTGAACCTTCCACGCTGGGCCATGATTTTGTTTGCATGTGCTGAATACAGGAAGGTAGCGATGCCCTGTCATCTACTATGACAGCCTAGCTAACATGTCCCCCAGCAAATTGTGACCATCTGACATGATGGACACAAGCAGTTCCTTCCCTTATTTTTGCCGCATCCTGTGCACACCTTGAGGACAACCGTATGTGTATGCTGATATGGTTGGTTCTTGGCATGTTTGTCTTCCTTCCAAGCTTAGAAGCCCCTCCCCAGTAGGCGCCGGTTTGCTTTCCTTGGACTCCAGCGTGGGCTGTAGTAAAGCTTCTCTGCTTGTTTCTAAAGAGCATAGTGTAACTCCATTGACGAATCTGTCTTACAGTACAGTACTGGCTTTCAAGCAGGAAACAAGTGGAGTAAAACCAAGAACTAGATAGGAATGCAAACACAGATCATCAATTAGTGCTCCACAAACACAGCAAGAGGACCGGCAAGAATTAGACAGGCACTCAATAAATAGTGCTGGGAAAACTGGATCCACAGGCGAAATCAGGAAATCTGACCCTTAACACAACATCAAATTGGATGAGAGTAGAAAGAAGACTCAAGAGGAGGTCTGAAGGCCCAAGAAGGGGACCGGGCATGGGACTCCTTGACATTGGCCATGACCCGTGTGATTTTCTGGGTATCATACTGAAAGCTTGAGTTTCAAAAGCAAAGATCAATAAATGGAATGGCATCAAAATGAAAAGCTTCTGTACAACAAAAGAACATCAACAGAAAGAAAGGACAATGTATTGACCGGGGGAAATATTTCTGAACCACACATGTTGAATATGGGTTACTACCTAAGTTATAAAGAGCCTTTAAAATTCAGTATCAGATAAGCAAATGGCCCAATTTAAAAAAAAAATGGGCAAAGGGCCTAAACATACATTTCTCCAAGAAAAAACATATTTAAAGGGCCAGAAGGTATGTTGGAGAGATATCTTACAGCTAAGAATGTTTTCTGCTCTTCCAGAGGCCCCAAGTGGGGTTACCAGCACCCACACTGTGCTGCTTACAGCCAAATGTAAGTCTCGCTGCAAGGGATCAAGCACCCTCTTCTGTCACTCATGGGTACCTGCACACATGGGACATACTTACACACCACACAGAGACACAGACACAGACATAGACACAGACACACACACACACACACACACACACACACACACACACACTAACACAAACAAATAAATAAAAATTAACAGTATATCTGAAAACAAGCCCAGAGAGTATGGGTCAAGATGCTCAATATCATTAGTTATCAATGAAATGCAAATTAACACCACTACAAGATATCACCTTATATTTGTTAAGATGGCTATGATCAAAAAGATAGACAATAACAATTGTGTAGAAAAAAGGAAACACCTGTACCATGTTGGTAAGAATGTAATTAGATGTAGTTATTATGAAAAACATTTTAAAAGTTAATAACAACAAAACTACCATATGACCCACCAATTCATCCTCCAGGTATAGAGCTGAAGGAGATGGATTCAGCATCACATAAAGATGCCTGCACTTCTTCCATGCTCACTGCAGCATTTTTCACAGCAGGCATGGTTTAGGAGCAACCTAAATGTCTGTTGAAAGATTAATGGATAAAGAAATAATAGCATGTATATGTTGAAATACAATTCGGCCATAAAAGGAAAATCCTGTTATTTTCTACACCATGGGTGGACTAAAACATCTTTCATTGTGTAAAGTGCAGCACATCCATTCAGCTGGGTGTAGCTATTGCTGATAAGTTAGCAGACAAGGTCAACTCAACTTACCCTGAGCTTCTCCCTAACCAGTGTGAAAGGAGCTACAGTTTAAATCCAGCAAGTCACAGTCCAACGTTCTGTGACTGCTCCCAGCATAGACCACTGATACCCAGTCAGTTCAAGTACCAAGTGCATTACAGGGACTGAATAGAGAATGAACTCTCTACCCCAACGCAAACACATGCAACTATACTTACAAAGAAGCAAAAACTCTTAGGAAATCAGAACCATAGACTCCTGGGTAGGAAATACAACGTCAAACCACTGTCTTTCCATACACGATAGTCCACATCCATTAAGGTTCCCGAACCAAACTGGCAAATGCACACTGGAAAAATTACAGAGAATCTTGATTTTATCCTTCTAGAACCCCTCTCCTGGGAAGAATAATCTCCTTTGGTCTTTAATGCAGTTTCTCACCTTCCACAACAACAACAAAGAGAAAAAAAAAGAAAGGGAAAAAAGATCAAGGTGAATTTAGGCTATGTAACAAGACCCTTTCTTGAAAATGGATAACTAAAGGAAAGTCCCCTAAACCCAACATCAAGTTTTTTTTAAACAGAAGAAAAAAGAATATTTTTACATAATACTTAGCTTCCAATAATTCTCCTGAAACCCAGTTAATATAGCTTGCGCATATTGTTAACATATGTGTTTATGTAAAATATCTGTATATGTGTATGCATTTCTATGTTAATAGAAAACATATACCATATAGATTGTAACCAAAATGATTTTAATAAATCTATCTAATTAAAGAGGTTACATGAGTTCATGAGAAAAATCTGTTGAAATTTTTCTTTTTAGAACATAATATATCAGATACAAAGCACCAGCCTTTTCATGAAACTTCTCTGAGGACTCAGGTTTGCTCTTAATATTTAATTCTTCTTGGTATATGAATAACCTTATATTTGAATTACTTGTGTAGTGGCCTCTAATCCTGATAGAGTTAACCCCTAAGACAAGATGCTAAGTGACCACTTTTCTTTTAAGAAGTGAAAGTCCTAATTGAGGCATTAAAATTTCAAAGATATAATAATAACTCAGGCTAAAACTAAAAATTGGCATAATAACACAATACATTTGGAGTAATTTAGTGAAATTTTATATTAAAATGGTAATTACGGGGCTAAGGAGATGATTCAGTGAGTAAGAGCGCTGGCTATGCATGCAGGAGGACTAAGTTCAAATCCCCAGTACCCACATAAATGCCAGCCCTGGGTCATGCATGCCTCTAATCCCAGCACTTGAGAGGTAGAAGCAGGAAGATCTCTATAGGTTTGAAGCTAGCCTGGTCTGCATGGTGAGTTCTGGGGCAGCCTGAAGTACATAATGTGACCTGGTCTCACAAATAAACAAAAAGTCAGGCATGGATACTCATTGTAACCCCAGGATTGCGGGGTGAAAATTGGTCAATCCCAGGTGCTGAATGTCCAGCCAACCTAGATGAAATGGTGAGCT